CCTGCTGAAGGGTGGAGGGGTGGCTTTCTTAGCCTCTCACGCCTCTCATCTCTCTGAGGGGCCTCTTTTAGACCCTTGCAAGGTGGGATGACAGGGTCAACGTACTCTTCAGCCATTCTCGTATCCTTCAGGATGTGGACATAGATGAAGAGAGCTTGTTCGTGTTTCCCCATGCGTCCCAGCAGGAGAGCACGCTCTTCTAAGAGGCCTGTGGGGGAAAAGGTGTTTAAGTAACCATCATCCCCATTAGGCAAAAGCCCAAGGCCAGGGGCTAAGCTATTAGAGGAATGGATATTGGGGAAATATAAAAGGGGAAAAAATATTTTTATTACTTGGGATTTTTTCAAGGAGAAAATTACTAAAATTTTTAAAAGGGAAGAGGGAAGGGAGCTATTTTAGGAGGTACTTTATCCCATCTTTTTTGTGATTGCTTATAAATGGGGCAACAACACTTGATATGATCAGCCAAGTGTATAATAAGCACCTACAACGTACCAGGCACTTCAGCTAGGTAAACGGACACCTGGTCTCTGCTCTCATGGAGCTTATACATCAGACAGATGTGTGTCTTTTTCAGACATACGTCTGTCTGATGTATAATTAGACATTATGCCAGATTATAAAAACTGCTAACCAATGAAATTGGCCAAGAATATGTACTGAAGCAAGAAACAGCTTTCAACCTGGCCATCAGTTAGCCTATGGTGGGGCTTCCCTAGTGGCACAGTAGTTAAAAATCCACTTGCCAATGCATAGGACACAGGTTCAAGCCCTGGTCCAGGAAGATCCCACATGCCGCGGAGCGACTAAGCCCATGTGCCACAGCTACTGAGCCTGCGCTCTAGGGCCCACGAGCCACAACTACTGAGCCCACGTGCCACAACTACTGAAGCCCACGCGCCTAGAGCCCGTGCTCCGCAACAGGAGAAGCCGCCACAATGAGAAGCCTGCGCACCGCAGCGAAGAGTAGCCCCAGCTCGCCACAACTAGAGAAAGCCCGTGTGCAGCGATGAAGCCTCAACGCAGCCAAAAATAAATAAATAAATAAAAATTAGCATGTGGTTCATACCCAAAAGAGACTCCTCTCAAACAAAACTGAGCCTTCAGAGGGGACAGAACAGGAGCACAGGCCTGAAACGTGGTTTTTCCCAGGCCCAACCTTTTGGAGGGCTGGGGAACTGGTAAAAGGGAAAGATCTGTTTTTGCATTACCTTCTGCTAAAGTGGCTCTGGACCTAAGCCAGACACTCACCATCAAAAGGAAAATCACAGATGAGCCGGCCTGGGTCATAGTAGCTAGAAATTTCCAAGAACTTAAGGAGCTTCCGTCGGTATTCTCCCAGCTCTCCTTCTTCCTCGCCAGCGGGGACTGGAGCTTTGCCTTTAAGGAAAACCACGCTCAGCATGAAAGGATGCTGTCGGGCAGCAATGTGGGGTCATTAAGAAAGACGAGAGGGACGGGATTCAATTATCAGAAAGGGCCTCCATGGTGGTTTCCAGTTGGCCTTCTCTTAGCTTATGGTCTCTACATGGCCCCAAAACATCAGCTTGAGGAAAGAAGAAAAAAAACCCAAGCTGCGTAGAGAAGCACTCTGCTAGACAAACCTGTTTCCTAACAGCACAGGTGTCACTCTGCGGACAGATCTGCTCCTTCCCCACCACCAGGGGTGACGCCCAGGGAAGCTAAGAGGTGCCCAGATCCAGGCACCAGCCCCTGAGTCTCACCTGCGGGGTCACTTAGCTGCCCTGGCTCCTCTGAGGCACTTCCTGCCCACCTGGGCCTGCAGAGAAGGTCTTCTTCCCTAAACCACCCATGACACCCTCAGGTCCAGCTCTCCTCTAAGGCCTGGGGCCACCCCGCTTTCCAAGAACTGGTACCTGCAGGGAAGGACAGGAGATACTCCTTCATCAGACCTTGCACCTTCTCACAGTACAGCTGGATCAGGCAGTTGTGGAACCGAGAGCCCGTCTCCTCCCAAACGTGGATGACGTGTTCCTGAGGCAAGACACAGGTCTGCCTGGTACCCTCTGTGCTGTGACCCAGCCCATTGCCCAGGCTCCCTCACATTTTTAAGGCCCAAGAGGTCCCATCCAGATTGTCCCCTAATTAGGCCACAAATATTATCAAGGGATAGCTCTTCTAAAATCACTGGGAAATTTCACAGTACAGCCCAGCAGTATCAGGAATTATTGTCTTGATTTCCAATCAAAGCTCCTTTATTAACTCTGTCTCATAATCCTCCAAATCAGCCCATGTAATTAAGGTTGAGTATTTGCATTCTGGTACTTAGGACTGATTTGTTGTCCTTCGGTCACAGTTGAGTCTGGCTGTACAAATGTGGCTCTGAAATGTTTTTCTCCAGCATCCTTCTCTTTTATCCCTCTGTACGTCATCTTTAGAAGGGAGCATCTTTAAATCTTTAGAAGGTAGCATCAAAAAGTGCCATCTCCAGCTTGGTCTACTGGGATCTCTGTCTTCAGAGGATATTACATTCCTTACATTCCTTACAATTCCTTCCTTACATTCCTTCCAATCCCCAAGGGACAGAAACCCTAATCTGAACTGGCTAATCACTGACTCATGCAGTCCTGGATCCTGGGTTTGAAGCCTTTTAGTTCAGATCAAAAAAATACCTTACCAGATATGGAATTGCCAGACCCTTAAAATTCTCCACTAAGAAGCCAAGCACTCGGTCTCGCGGCAGAGACTCCACCTCTGGGAGGTCCTCAGTAAATATCTGTTGGAACAAAACCTGAGTTCTAGCAGCAGAACCATCTGATGGCAATTCTTCCAAACGCACGTGCGCACAAGCTTAGGGTCAAGTGGACAGACACTGTATGGGAAGGGCATCTGTGGCCAGTTACTATGGGACAGACTAGGTCGCAGGTCTCCTGGCATCTGCACCAGGCTCCTTCCACTCCACTCATTGCTGTTCCATGTTTCCCAGTCTTTGAAACACCAGAGAACTGCATGAATCCTTCCTCCCCCTCCATCTACTGCCGTCTGAAGTAGAATCAGGACCAACCGTGGTGCCAGATAAATCCAAGGGGCTCCATGACCTACCTTCAGCCCATCCTCTGGAAAGTCTCTCAGCACCCACACTGAGTAGGAGAAAATCAAATGCAGGTTTTCTGTGCCTAGAGGGAAAAGTCAGCAGATGAAGCCCACCCACCCTGCCCATAGGACCGGGAAGGCAGATGCCCAGGTTGCCCAGGATTTATCTTCTGGAGAAGATAGCTCTGTCCAAGCACCAGTCACTCAGGGCTGCTTGGGCCTACCGAGCTGGCTACACACCAAGCAGCTGTCATGGTTCCATCACCAGGGGGACTTTCACCCCAGTCAGAGGAACCCAGTTGGGTGAACATGAGGGAGGGAGGGGAATGACCAGTCGGAATCAGAAAGGGAGAGAGGTCAGGTCCACTTGCACCATCCTCTCCCTGCGCCCATTCCACAAGCTGGACTTACCCAGATGTTGCAGGTATTGCACTGTCCTCTCATGGCCTTTCAGAGGGGAATTCGCTTTCTTGGACTGGTCCACCAGCACCTGCAGAGCTGGCCATGAAGCCCAAGAATAAGGTCATGAACCCCTTCCAGAAGGCGTATCTCCTTGGAAAGTCATCACACTGTAAGCAGTTTTTGGCAGGAAAGAGGTCTTTGCAGGAGGCCCCTTTGTCTTGTCACTAACCTTAAACCGGTAACCTACATGCTCTGCTTATCTGTAGCCCTAGCACACCTTTCAAATCTTGTGATCACACAATACTTTGCTTAACTTGTTGGTTCTTTCCATAGATCAAAGAAATAGAAATGAAGAATAAGTAATTAAAAGAGGGCCAGGTCTCCGCCCTAGCTTCCCCTTCAGTAATCTTGTGAACAAACTGTGTGAACAAGACAGCATCTAAAGAAAAGTCACAAGAAGGCAACAGGCCTGCACACAGTGGGGATGGCCCCTATCTCAATGATTAACTGAGATTACTTCCCTTTTTCCCTTTAAAAGCTTTCGTGGTCGAGCAGAATCTTCAGAGGGGGCTTCTGGGGCACACTGAGTCCACCATCTCCCCAGACTGCCAGCACTCTCATTAAAAGCAACTTTCCTTTCTTACCAACATTTGTCTCTCTCTCGTGTACTGATTTTCGAGCGGGGAGCAACCGGACCTGATTCGGTAACAACACCCAGTCAAAATACAAGAGACCCTCCCAACCAAAGAAACCTCTCCTCCAGTCACCTTTCTCATGGAGCCCCTTCTTCTCGTACAGGATGATCAGTTCGCTGTACTTGTGAGCCTTCTTCAGCACGTGCTCGCTCTCTTCGATGTGGCAGTGGTTGTTCTCCAGGCGCAGCAAGGGGGCCACCAGGGCCACGTTCGTCTGCAGAGGAGGCAGGATTTCAGCAGAAGCTGCTTCCTGGGGAGCCCGCCCCTTCCCCAGCCCCGGCCTGCTTCAGGCTGAAACACCAGGGGTGTGACAAGCAAGAGACAGCAAACAACCCTTTGCCAGGACTACAGGTAGTACCTTGTAAAGCATTTATGCTCTTTCAAACAACATGTTTCAAGGGTTTTTTTGGGAGAGGGAGGGTAAAGACAGGGGAAATTTTCTTTGGGGAAATACTGTCCCTGTTCACCTCGTAGCACTAACCCCCATCTTAGCAGAGAAGACCAGCCCACTGTAAGATTCTGGGTCAACATCTCGCCGTATCCCCTCAATTCCAAGAAGCTCACAGACGTCAGGCCAAGAGTAGCTGGTTCCTGTCATCAAAGGCTTCACTCTTACCAGGGGCAGGGACCCCAGAGTAGGGGCAGGGACCCCAGAGTAGGGGTCCTGTGGGGACCCGAGTGCTGGAGAACTCACATGGAGGTAGCACTTGAGCAGGGTGGTGTCAATGATTTGCAGCAGCTTCTTCTTGGATTTGATGGTAGGAGTGCCCTCCATGAGCGGGGAGGTGCTAGACTGGTGATCAGAGTCATTCAGCTTCTTGACCAATTGGCTTCGTTTCTGCCAAGGCCAAAAATGCGGGGTCAAGGCCAGGACTAAATCTTTATCACCCGAGCTACTAGGCAATTCCAAATTCTAAATCAGCTCACACCTACCCACCCTGATCCCACATTAGCATTCAAATTTTATCAGGGATCAAAACAGATGAACACCAAATCACCAGACACAAAGACAATTATCTACTGAGTATTTACCACAGACCAGGCATTATGCCAAGCACTTTATATATTATCCTACTGTAAACCTAAAACAAATGCAGGTAATATTAGCCCCATTTTATAAGTGAAGAACCTAAGGCACAGATATTAGATACCTCCTAAGTGGCAGAGGCAGATTTCAAATTAGGGTCTGATTCCAAAGCCCCCATTCTTTTCTTTTTTTAAATCAACTTTATTGAGGTATAAGTTATGTACAATAAAATGTACCCCTTAAAAGTATACTATCAGGGGCTTCCCTGGTGGTGCAGTGGTTGAGAGTCCGCCTGCCGATGCAGGGGACACGGGTTCTTGCCCCGGTCTGGGAAGATCCCACATGCCGCGGAGTGGCTGGGCCCGTGAGCTGTGGCCGCGGAGCCTGTGCGTCCGGAGCCTGTGCTCCGCAGTGGGAGAGGCCACAGCAGTGAGAGGCCCGCGTACCGCAAAAAAAAAAAAAAAAAAAAAAAGTATACTATCAGATGCTTTTTCACAGATATATACATGCATGTAACCACCATCCCAATCAAAAAACAAAACATTTGTTACCCCTGAAAGTTCCCTTGTGCTCTTCCCAAAGAATCTCTCCCACCCTCTACCCCCACTGATCTGATTTCTATCACTAGAGATTACTTCTCCCCTGTTCTTGAACTTTATATAAACGGAATCATCCAGTTTGTACTATTTTGTGTCTGACACGCCCATGGTCTTATTTGTTCTACCAACTCTCTGGCACAATGCTCATGTCAGTTACCTCCACGTATTCCAAGCTCAGTGGAGAAGGCCAGGGAAAAATGTATGCTTGAAGTCCCCTAATGCTAAGATGTTGAAAATAGAGGGTTTTCTGTGATGCCACATGCTTGGGAGACTTTCTGCCCCGGGAACCTTTTTTCACTTGGCTCATGGGGTGTGCAGTATGCAGACAGAGGCAAGTTTGTGTGCTCCTTGCGGGCTGTCAGCCACCCCTGGAACCCAATGTCAAGGAAATGCCAAAGCAATGGATGCCTGACTGGACCTGTGGGACACCCACTGACCCAGAAGCAGGTGATGGGAAGCTGGCTTACAATTTTCCTAGCAATACTTCTCATGCCCATCCAGAGGACCCCTTATAAAGGTCAGCAGAACACTTCTGGGAAAAAATTTAGTAAGTTCTCTGACTCTGAGTGGGTGCACAGGAAATAAATAATAACCTTCTGCACAGAAATGTAGGGTTCAGAGGCTTCAATGGAGACATTAGTTTTAGTGCTGACATGAAAATTTCACTTATCTGCCATAACAGTAAATTGAAAATAATTTAAGTCTAAATACTCCCCCTAAAAAAAACATGTTATAGAAGAATATTTAATGACAGGGAAGGACTTTCCTAATATGTGGCTAAATGTTTTAAAAGTAAGCTATAAAACAATATATAGCTTGATATCCATTTGTAATAAGTAAACTAATATATAAATAAGCAAAAATTATTCACAGGGGGCTTCCCTGGTGGCGCAGTGGTTGAGAGTCCGCCTGCCGATGCAGGGGATGTGGGTTCGTGCCCCGGTCCGGGAAGATCCCACATGCCGCGGAGCGGCTGGGCCCGTGAGCCATGGCCTCTGGGCCTGCACGCCCGGAGCCTGTGCTCCGCAACGGGAGAGGCCACAGCAGTGAGAGGCCCGCGTACCGCCAAAAAGAAAAAAAAAAAAAAAAATTATTCACAGGTACAAATAAAAGTCTGGAAGGACAACACTAAAATGTTAGTTAATTTTCTCTGGGTGGTAGAGCTATAGGTGATTTTTATTTTTGTTTTATACTTTTCTGTGTTTTCCAAGTTTGCTGCATAGAACAGCAGTTTTCCAAAAGTATGTATGTTCCCAAAAAGTTTGTTTTAAAAAATGTATTCTTTTCTATCAACTAAACTTTTCTCTTTTTAATTCCTATAATAGCTTAGCGTGAATTTACCATGAACGGAATGTGTTTCCTGGTATCAGGATTTGGCAAAAAAGAGCTCAATACTATTGTTAAGCAGGGAGATGAAGCAGAAAAAAATGTGCCCCCCCCCAGACTTCAATAGTGTTCATTTACGGAACACCTGTGGCATTATAGAAGGCCCCCAGTTCCCTGCCATAGAGAAGCAGGTACTGAAACTTCCAGGTAAACTCTTCCATATACTTCTGTATATACCTACCTGTGTCAGGTAGTCAATCAGAGCTAAGTGAGCCTTCTCCAACTCAGCCCCAGAGAGCACAGGCAGCGGGTTAGGATACTGTAGCTGCTTCCTGTAGTCTGTGGGTAGCAGGTCAGGGTACAGGCCCATCACATGTGTAGGATCTACATGGAAGGTAAACATGATTCCCCAGAAAGGAACACAGCAATTTAAGGATAAACTAAAACAAGACTAGTTCTACAGCAATATAAGTTCCAGATTGACTTTTTAAAAGGAATGACTCTTGGGGCTTCCCTGGTGGCGCAGCGGTTAAGAATCCACCTGCCAATGCAGGGGACATGGGTTCGAGCCCTGGTCTGGGAAGATCCCACATGCCGCGGAGCAACTAAGCCCGTGTGCCACAACTACTGAGCCTGCACTCTACAGTCCGCGAGCCATAACTACTGAAGCCCGTGTGCCTAAAGCCCGTGCTCCACAACAAGAGAAGTCACCACAATGAGAAGCCCGCGCACTGCAACGAAGACCCAACGCATCCAAAAAAAAAAAAAGAACGGCTATTACCAAAAAGACAAGAAATAACAAGTGTTGGTAAGAACGTGGAGAAAAGGGAACCCTTATGCACTGTTGGTGGGAACGTAAATTGGTGCAGCTACTAGGGAAAACTGTATGGAGATTCTTCAAAAAATAAAAAATAGAACTACCATACAATCTAATAATTCCACTTCTAGGTATTTATCCAAAGAAAATAAAAACACTAATTCAAAAAAATATATGCACGCTAATGTTCACTGCAGCATTATTTTTGCCAAGACATGGAAGCAACCTAAGTGTCCATCAATACATGAATGGGTAAAGAAGATGTGGCATATATATATATATATATACACACAATGGAATATTAGTCATAAAAAGGAATGAAATTTGTCATTTGCAAGAACACGGATGGACCTAGAGGGTATTATACTATGTGTGATAGATTTTTTAATCTGAATTGGCTTATGTGCAGCTGGTAAGTGGGAGAATGGTGTAGGTATGAGGCAAAAGTTGTTTTGGTTGGTATGCAATTTTCCCCAGCTTGTTAATGTTCTGAAGTGACCAGGAGGGCAAGCTTTCTTACAATTAATGAGAAACCTTAACTTATACAGGAAGATCTAAAGAAAAGAGCTGAAAATCCTATAAAAGTACCCTCTTTTAGTGCAAGTAATGGCTGATGAGTAGCTTCAAAAACCACTATACTTTCTACTAAGTTAAGCCATCTGGGGAAGATGAGAGTAAAAATGAAGCAAAGATGTTTCCTCCCCATTAACTGTTTTGGAGGGTCTCATAAAGAAGGCTGCACCCAGGATCAGATTTTTTACTTTGATGAAACTAGTTTCTACCAGAAGCAAATGTTCTCAGAGATCTTATCTCAAAAGAGAAAGCACAGCCCCAGAGTTTAAGATAGCAAAGGACTATCATGCTGGGTACCAAAAGCAGTGGGAATTTCATTTTAGTAGGATAGTTATTTTTATTAGTGTTCCAGTTACAATGCTGCCTAGGATTTGAGTGGTCTGCTCCAATGTTATTTGCCCCTTAAGTCCTGTTACTTTTCATATTTGTTATAGAACATAAGGTTCTGCAGGACCACATTCAAGGCATTATAGCAAAAATGCCTGTACCTCGATACATATAACAAAGGGCACCCTGGGTGCCACACGAATATTCTGGCCATTGTAAGGGATCTAGCCTCCCTACTGTAAGCAAATAAAGGGACATTCTATTAATATATCAGTCTCATGTGTCAGGGTCAATCTGTCACTAGTGGTCTGATGATTTCTGAATATACTAAGAATATCTACTATAGGACCTAAGGACCAGTCCTTAGATTGAAGTCAGTCAATGGAGATGCTGCCCCAAAGGCCCCAAAGGCCCAGTCAATAGCCAGCTGCCCCCAGACCACATCACCACCAGCACATACCTCCTGCTGCTGTAAGGGTCCACTTGTACCTTATCTTCCCTACTAGACTGCTCTTTGAAAGCAGAATTCCTGTCTGATTACTGTTGCTTGGGGCCCAGCAGAATGCACTGCACTCTCTTAAGAGCTCAGTATATATTAGTGGAGTGAACAAGTTAAAAAGTAGTAGCTTCATTAGGATTGATTTTAAAGTTCAACTATTGTTGGTACATGGAAAAAGGGTCAAGTTGTTACAGCAGTTCTAGCTTATTATTCCAGTGTCTTCCCAAAGAGCTGGTGGCATACTGAAAACAAATGCCCCAACTGGGTTCATTCAGAGGAAGGATGGTAAATATTTATCAATTTCAGCGTACCCAGCTTCCATCCTCCTTCTTAAGAGCAAACTATTTCATTTTGGTGAGCTCCTTCTTCCAGACCATGTGTCGTCTCGGTGGGAGAATAGTTCAGGCAACTATCTTTGCCTTTAGAAGCAGTGTAGCCACAACCTCCTTTCCCACCCCTAGGACACAGAAGGAGTGAGACCATGACCTAATCCTGGCCAATCAGATCCCTTTGATCTTGAGAAAGTGATTCAAGGATGACAAGCAGTATGGCACACATCATCGTATATCCAGTCCTACACGCTTCTTTTATGTAATGCTGATACTCCTCCATCATGAGGTAGGGTCTGTGTTCCCTTGCCTTGAACTTGGAAAGCCCTTGTAAATCAACAGAATACAGGAGAAGTGACCATCGTAAAAGGCACTGAGGCTTCCACCTAGGCCTCCTGGATCACTCACTCCAGGAAAAGCCAGTCACTCTGCATGAGGACACTCAAGCAACCCTATGGAGATACCCACCTGGACAAGAACTGAGGCTCCCAGCCCATAACCAGCACCAACATGTGAACTATGAGAGTGAGCCACCTTGGAAGTAGATCCTCTAGCCTAGTCAAGACTTCAGACAAAGGTAGCCCAGCCAGTACACAACTGCAACCACATGAGAGACCCCAAGCAAGAACTGCCCAGCTGAGCACTTCCCAACTTCCTAACCAACAGATACCAAGAGAGGTAACAGACGATTTGTTCTTTTAAGTCACTAACTTTTGGGATAATTTGCTACATGGCATTAGACAGCTAATACAAGCTGATGGGGGCAACTTTTATTGAGGATGCAACAACAGGGGAGGTGGTGGCAGTAACAGCTAAGGAAGTGGCTGTGCTGGTGGAGGACTGCCTCGGCTGTCCTGGCTACAGAGGGATTACTGTCCAGCTTCCTATTTCCTGCTTCCTCCGGAGCAACCTTGGCTCCTACTATTCCCAAGCCTGGTCCCCCATTTATTTGGCAGGCTCCTCCACCTGCCATTCCCTTAATATTCCAATAAGCCATGCTTAATTTAACCAGATACTGTTTGAATTCTCCAGAATTGGTTTTTACTGCTCACAACCAAGAGCCTTAACTGATACAGGGAGTTACCAGTTTATTGCTGGCCAAGGTCAAGGGAAGATGGAAGAAAGGTAAACAAAGAGGAGGAAAAAAGAGGAGATAGAGAGTCAAGCCAAGTATGTATAGACTGATCTAAATTAAGCAAAAATGGAATATACCCAAATGAAAAATTTAATAATAATAACAGCAAACACTTACCTGGCATTTATTAAGTACCACACACTGTTCTAAGCACTTTCCTAAGCACTTGACATAATCTTCACTGCCACACTGTGAGGTGAGTAGTATTATTCTCCCTGTTTTGCAGAGGAGAAAACTGAAGCAGAGAGAGTCCAGTCTGCCTGAGGTCAGGCAGTCTGCCTCCAAAGTACCTGCTCCTCATCACAATGCTCTAGTGTCTAGAGAGCTTTTAGGACACTGAGAAAAGAAAGGGATTTGCAGCACTGCCCTACGTGGCTCTTAAAAATGACCTACAGGTGGGACTTCCCTGGTGGTGCAGTGGTTAAGAATCCGGCTGCCAATGCAGGGGACACGGGCTCGATCCCTGGTCTGGGAAGATCCCACAAACTGCGGAGCAACTAAGCCCGTGTGCCACAACTACTGAGCCCACGCGCCTAGAGCCCGAGCTCTGAACAAAAGAAGTCACTGCAGTGAGAAGCCCATGCACCGCAACGAAGAGTAGCCCTCGCTCGCCGCAGCTAGAGAAAAGCCCACGTGCATCAACGAAGACCCAGTGCAGCCAAAAATAAATAAATTAATTAAATTAACAAATTTTTAAAAACATGACCTACTGTTGAATCCTACTAAGTTCAGGCCAGTGACTTTTGTCTAGAACAGTGGTCAATAACCACAAGATGATCAAACACACATGTGTTGACTTGAATGACTTTCTGTTACCTTCCTCTACTGGCAAGGGCAAAGCATCCCGGAAAACTGGAAGTCTGTATATGTAGGTGAGACCAGAGTCATAAGATCAGGACTGTAAATATGTAGCCACATGGCCACTCACAGGATCCTGTTAGGTACGAGGATCAATTTAGATGAGCGTAAACTTTCCCCATTCTCAGAAGTCTGGTGTCATTTCTCCCCATCCTTTCCAGTTCCCCCTCCCTCGATTTAGTTCCTTATCCCTAGGCCATACCCACTTGTTACCTGTGCCAAGTTTAGCAAAGACCTGCATGGACTCATCAAAACGCTTCTGGCAGAAGAGGTTGAAGGCATACAAGTTCTTGATGTGATGGATCTGTTGCTGTTTTTCACTGTCAGAATCATCTTTCATTTCCTGATAAGAGAATATAATAGGTAGGAGCTCACTCACTGAACAAATATTTATTCAGTATACACCAGGTATCAGAAACATGCTATGCCCTCACAGACTGCCCTTACATTCTAATCATAAGTCACTATGCAATTAAAATACAATAGGGTTTCTACAAAATACCTGACCAGTACTCCTGAAAACTGTCAGGGTCATGAAAAACAAGGAAAGACTAAGAAACTGCCACAGCTCAGAGGACACTAAGAATGTATGACAGCTAAATACAATGTGATTTCTGGATTTGAACCTGGAACAGAAAAAGAGACATTACTGGAAAACCTTGGTGAAATCTGAATAAAGTCTAGAGGTTAGTTTAAAAACAAAAAATCAAAACAAAACAGGGTGAGTGATGATAGAAGCATGTGGGTTGGGTATTCAGTCTAGTGTGAGCAGTGGGTCCAGGAAGGCTCCCAGGAGGAATGTAAACTTAGACACAAAGGATGAGCTGGAGTTGGCCAGGCGAGGCTGGCAGGTGACAGACGGGAGGGGATTCCAGGCCAAGAGGACAGCAAGTGTGCGCAGGGCCCTAAAATGACAGAGAGAACATGGCCTGCTCAAGGAATGAAAGACGTTTAACACAGCTGGCACAGTTGGGAAAGGTCCTGTTCACAGTAAAAGCCAAATAAATAGAGCTACTTATTATCTCTGCTTCTTCCTTTAACCTTTTCCCCCCTTATACCCTTTTTAAGCAATCTTTGCCACATTTAATTTCTTCCTTTGAAATGTCTCTCCATGTCAACTATACCCCAATTTTTAAAAAAAAAAGGTCTCTCCATGTTTTCCCTTCTTTTCTTTTCCTCTTCTCTTGCGTTCACCCTAGTCCAGGCCATCATCAGCATGTCACCATGCTTGGGCTAAGCTCTCCTGCTTGGTGTTTTAAAGGCTCTCAAAGCCTGGCACAGCCTCCTTAGCTAGGTTATTCCCAGACATTCAAGCCACACCCTACATGCCAGTCAGGATGGGCTCCAAGCATCCTGGAAATACTTGTTTCCACACTTGTTTTCACTTCTTCTTTTTTTTTAGATGTTGGGGGTAGGAGTTTATTAATTAATTAATTAATTAATAGCTGTGTTGGGTCTTCGTTTCTGTGCAAGGGCTTTCTCTAGTTGTGGCGAGCGGGGGCCACTCTTCATCACGGCGCGCGGGCCTCTCACTGTTGTGGCCTCTCTTATTGCGGAGCGCAGGCTCCAGACGCGCAGGCTCAGTAGCTGTGGCTCACGGGCCTAGTTGCTCCGCGGCATGTGGGATCCTCCTAGACCAGGGCTCGAACCCGTGTCCCCCGCATTGGCAGGCGGATTCTCAACCACTGCACCACCAGGGAAGCCCTGTTTTCACTAGTTTAACTTCCTCGGGCTCTGTAACTCTCCCTGTTTCCTGCTCCTGCTCCTACCTATCCTTAAAAGGTCCAACCTTAGGATGCCTTTTCCAGCCCAAAGCAAAGTTTAGTACATAACTGCCCTCTGAAAGTTTCATGTACGTTCTCTGATTAATTTAAATAAAAGATAGGTTCCTCAAGAGCTAAGATGATATCAAGCAACCTTCTTTTGTCATAGAGCAGAACACCTAGTAAGTACAAGCCTAGAAAAGAGAAGGGAAAATGGAAACCCACTTCCATCTTCTCTACTGAAGATTAAACAGACAACCTGCAGCAGGAAGATCACTGCAAAGACCTGAGACCTTCCTTTTAAGAAAAACAGATACTAAAAAAAACTATGTGCTACATAATACCCTTTTTATAAAGTTCAAAAACTAAATACATATTCAAGCACACAAATATATATGAAATATTAAACAAAAAAATTTTAAGGGCACGATAAACACAAAGTTAGGATAATGGCTGTGTCTGGAGGGTAGGCAGAGGGATGGGATGGGGGGACATATAGGTTACGTAAGTTATTTCTGGGGGGTAGGATGGTGGGTTCATGGATATCATTATTTTAAAAATGAAAATAAAATAATTTAGAGAAATAGATGAGTGGGGAAAAAATTGTAAGATGCTAAAATTAAATGGCCCAAGACAGAAACAATCTATGGTATATTAAATGTGTCTAACTACTAAGACTGGACTTTTGTTTTATATCTAGAACTTATATACCCAAAATAAATGTTGCTCTTCAAACGTATACACCATATAGAATTATAAACATATGTATTCCAAAATTTGTGCCCACTGTTTTCCTTTCAGAAGTAATTTATAAGATACTCTGAAAACTAACTTTTCCTACTGTTATCTTCAAAAAATCTCTTCTCTTTTACCAAATTAGCACTGTCCAGTTTAATGACTAAGTGAGGCTTGGAATGACTTTTAGTTGTTTCATAAAATCAAATCCACCCTTTAGAGATGACAATAATCACCACTGGGGATGTTTAAAAGAATAAGACAAGACTTGAAAGTCAATCTCCAAGAAGTGTTTTGGCAATGAGAGCATCACTGAAAGAAAAGTATGGTTAGTACTTTGCTGTGAGTAACATCCCACGAGTAACAGCCCATCCATTCAAGGAGAGTGAGTCTTGTGACTGCAGCCCTGCTGAATTGAATGTAGCAACCTGAGGTGGGTTCAGAATACCTAAAGAAGGCCTACTTACCCAAGCCCAGGAGGCTACTGGTGAAAGGGATTTTGAGAGGCCCTGTAGTTGTTGCATTCAATCACACTGTAATCTTGACAGTTATGACTGTTATTTTAATGTTAGCATTGTCTTGAATTTTTCAAGGCCATACCATATCTATTACATTATTTTACTGTCCTATCAATTCTATGAAATACTATTAGTATAATTTGCATTCATTCTACATTTGACAGATAAGCAAACTGAGATAGTGAAATCATTTAGAGTCCCATAGATATTTTATGGCAGGGTCAGATCCTGAATCCAAGCCCCCTGACTTTCAGCTCTGTGTTTATTCCTCCAGTCCAAACTAAATAAGAACATCTAAACTAAAATCCGCTACTCGGCAGAACAATGAGGAAGGCCCATTTCTCACACCCAAATCTCAGAAACAAGACTTACTGCAAGCTGCAGAGCCAATTCAAACTGCTTGTCCTGGAGAAGCTGTTGGATTTGGGTTGCCATGGGGACTGGAATGAGTCTCCAAACAAAATGGTTGCTGGCCACATAGATAATGTTTGATCTGGAGACAGGAGTAAGAGGATTAGCAAAAGAGCGCTGGCTTTATGATAACAAGATGACTTTAAAGCTTCGCAATAATATGGCAGCTACAGTCAAGAAAGAAATTCCTTACCCTCCTGAGGTAATGAAACGAGGCCTTTGCAATTCAATGCTCTGGACCAGAAGCCTTGGCTCAAATGTCCGGATCTCCACATATCGAGGCAACACGGCAATGATGTAGGGAGGCTGGTGCTCTGCACAAGAGAGAACATCTTGAGTTGTGCTTCTGCTCTAAGCCTTTAGGGTTATGGACTGTTTCAGCTTCTCAGTTCTAAGCTGCATTTGGATCTCCAAATGGTCCACTAGTCAAATACCAAGCCAGGATCCTACACTGTGATATATAAAGAAAAAAAAAAATGTTTGTCTCAGCGATGCTAAATCTCCTGCACAAAAAAGATGCATCCAGCTTTGCTCAGAGGGACGTGACTCCACTCCTACTGTTTTCCTGAGAGAGCTGGGTGAAAGTGTCACTGGCTCCTTTCTCATCCGTCACAAAGCCAGGCCAGACCAAGGCCAGCTGCAGCTCCCCTAACAATAAGTCAGTGGGAGAACAAGGTTACATAACTTCTTTCATTCTCTTAGGAAAGGCAAGAGAAGGGCAACTTCTCTTTTTTTCCCCCTAAAATTATGCTACAGAAAGAGATCCACATTTCTGGCCAATGTTATTTCTGCTTGAGATTTTCACAGCGAAAAGATGCAGAACTCCACCTAATGCTCAGTGGTTCACAGAGGAGGCAGCTGGATGGCATTCTCGGTGTAGCCATTTTCTTACATGAGGTAACTAGTATGTCAAATTCATAAAAACAGAAAGTAGAATGGTGCCAAGCGCTGAGGGAGGGGAAAATGGGTTCTTGTTTAATAGGTACAGAGTTTTAGTTTTACAAGATGAAAAAGTTCTGAAATGTGCTGCACGACAATGTGAATATACATAACACTACTGAACTGTGCACTTAAAACTGGTTAAGGTCAAATTGAAGGATAAAAAACAATATGATAATCTCAACAGATGCAGAAAAAGCTTTCAATAAAATTCAACACCCATTTATGATAAAAACTCTCCAGAAAGTAGGCGTAGAGGGAACTTACCTCAACATAATAAAGGCCATAGATGACAAACCCACAGCCAACATCGTTCTCAATGGTGAAAAACTGAAAGCATTTCCTCTAAGATCAGGAACAAAACAAGGCTGCCCACTCTCACCACTATTATTCAACAGTTTTGGAAGTTTTAGACACAGCAATCAGAGAAGAAAAAGAAATAAAAGGAATACAAATTGGAAAAGAAGAAGTAAAGCTGTCACTGTTTGCAGATGACATGATACTATACACAGAGAATCCTTAAGATGCTACCAGAAAACTACTAGAGCTAATCAGTGAATTTGGTAAAGTAGCAGGATATAAAATTAATGCAAAGAAATCTCTTGCATTCCTATACACTAATGATGAAAAATCTGAAAGAGAAATTGAGGAAGCACTCTCATTTACCATGGCAACAAAAAGAATAAAATACCTAGGAATAAACCTACCTAAGGAGATAAAAGACCTGTATACAAAAAAACTATACGACACTGATGAAAGAAATTAAAGATGATACAAACAAACAGAGAGATATACCATGCTCTTGGATTGGAAGAATCAACATTGTGAAAATGATTTATACTACCCAAAGCAATCTACAGATTCAATGCAATCCCTATCAAATTACCAATGGCATTTTTCACAGAACTAGAACAAAAAATTTCACAATTTGTATGGAAACACAAAAGACCCCAAATAGCCAAAGCAATCTTGAGAAAGAAAAATGGAGCTGGAGGAATCAGGCTCCCTGATTTCAGGCTACACTACAAACCTACAGTAATCAAGACAATATGGTACTGGCACAAAAACAGAAATATAGACCGATGGAACAGGATAGAAAGCCCAGAGATAAACCCATGCGTATATGGTCACCTTATCTTTGACAAAGGAGGCAAGAATATACAATGGAGAAAAGACAGCCTCTTCAATAAGTGGTGCTGGGGAAACAGGACAGCTAGATGTAAAAGAATGAAATTAGAACACTCCCTAACACCATACACAAAAATAAGCTGAAAATGGATTAAAGACCTAAATGTAAGGCCAGACACTATAAAACTCTTAGAGGAAAATATAGGAAGAACAGTCTTTGACATAAATCACACCAAGATCCTTTTTGACCCACCTCCTAGACAAATGGAAATAAAAACAAAAATAAACAATGGGACCTAATGAAACTCAAAAGCTTTTGCACAGCAAAGAAAACCATGAACAAGACGAAAAACAACCCTCAGAAAGGGAGAAAATATTTGCAAACGAAGCAACTGACAAAAGATTAATCTCCAAAATATACAAGCAGCTCATGTAGCTCAATATCAAAAAAAACAAACAACCCAATCCAAAAATGGGCAGAAGACATAAATAGACATTTCTTCAAAGAAGATATACACATTGCCAACAAACACATGAAAGGATGCTCAACATCACTAATCATTAGAGAAATGCAAATCAAAACCACAAAGAGGTATCACCTCACACTGGTCAGAATGGCCATCATCAAAAAGTCTGCAAACAATAAATGCTGGAGAGGGTGTGGAGAAAAGAGACCCCTCTTGCACTGTTGGTGGGAATGTAAATTAATACAGCCACTATGGAGAACAGTATGGAGGTTCCTTAAAAAACTAAAAATAGAGCTACCATATGATCCAGCAATCCCACTACTGGGCATATACCCTGAGAAAACCATAATTCAAAAAGAGACATGTACTACAATGTTCACGGCAGCACTATTTACAATAGCCAGGATATGGAAGCAACGTAAGTGCCCACCGACAGATGAATGGATAAAGAAGATGTGGCACATATACACAATGGAATATTACTCAGCCATAAAAAGAAATGAAATTGAACTATTTGTAGTGAGGTGGATGGACCTAGAGTCTGTCATACAGAGTGAAGTAAGTCAGAAAGAGAAAAACAAATACCGTATGCTAACACATATATACGGGATCTTAAAAAAAAAATGGTTCTGATGAACCTAGGGGAAGGACAGGAATAAAGACGCAGACATAGAGAATGGACTTGAGGACATGAGGAGGGGGAAGGGTAAGATGGGACGAAGTGAGAGAGTTGCACTGACATATATACACTACCAAATGTAAAATAGATAGCTAGTGGGAAGCAGCCGCATAGCACAGGGAGATCAGCTCTGTGCTTTGTGACCACCTAGAGGTGTGGGATAGGGAGGGTGGGAGGGAAACTCAAGAGGGAGGGGATATGGGGATATATGTATACATATAGCTGATTCACTTTGTTATACGGCAGAAACTAACACAACATTGTAAAGCAATTATACTCCAATAAAGATGTAAAAAAAAAAAGAAAAAATGGTTAAGGTGATAGATTTTATGCTATGTGTTTTTTTAACCACAATTAAAAATAGAATTTTTTTAAAATTAGTAAAAAATGAACCACTAGATGGCATAATTATCATATAAAAATGTAACCTCAAAGAATATATTTATAAGAATAGTTTCTTAGTGTGACTAACTTGCTATAAATTTATTTTCCTCATTATTTATTTTCAGATAAAAAGTTTTTCATATTATATTCACAATTTATACTCTAAATGAATAGTACAATAAAATTTCAAAGCTAGAAGGGAACTCAGAAATGAGGAAAAACTAAGGCCTTAGTAATACCTTCATCAGTTTGAATGCTACTGTTGATATTATGTTGATATTTTTCATCTTACCAAAAATAAAATTTAATAGCATGTTTTTTTGTATTGGATTCTTTTTTTATGCTGACCTCATTTTAAAAAAGTGATTACAATTTTCTTTCATGTTAATATGTATAACTATGTAAAGTTTCTCAGTCCTTTTAAAATCTGGCCCATTTTAATAAGGTCTCATTCAATAAATGAAGTAATCTATACTAGAAACCCTTTTGGTTGTCATGTCTCATCATTTGTTCAGTCTCCCCAAGTCTTTGACAACAGAGATGGTCTGGATCTCTCTATGTCTTCAACCTTGGCAGACTGGCTGGTGTCCAGCAAGCATGTAATGAATGGCGGACAATGTCAGTAATTCATCAATCAGCAAGCATTTAGTAAGAGGCTATGATGTTTCAGGCACTCTCAAAGTGGATCAAGACATGAGCCCAGAGCCCACAGAGCTCCTGCACGAGCAGAGGAGACAGACAACTCACTGCATCCAGTGGGACAGTGCAGCTAGCATGACGGAGAAACCTGAAAGGGCAGTGGGAGCACCAAGGGGGAAGTGACTAATTCTGCCTGTGGGTCAGAGAAGACTTCTGAGAGGAAGTGCCACTGAACGGGGGCCTTGTCATATGAGCAGCACGCTGCTGGGCAGACAAGAAATGAAGAGGCAACAGCACAGATGAAGGCACAGGGATGGGAAGTCCTTTCAGAATGACTGGAGCCTGGGTGCAGTAGTGAGGACGGCAGCAGAAATATAATCGAAGTCTATAAGAAGTTTAGTCTTCTTCCCGTCAGATGGTGTTCTTCCACCCTACCCAGGAAGAATGTCCCCTCCCTCCATGTGTTAAGGCACAAAAATGTTTTTGCGAAACACTGCCAAAGGGGCTGGGAACTAACAAAGGTCTTAAAACAGGGTCCCCACGCTGGGGAACCAGAAACCTACTTCCAGCATATTACACACAGCTTCAGCTAGTCTACCAAGCCTCCTCTTCTAAAGGAAAACAAGGGTCCCTAGAACATCACGAAGCTTCTTGTGAAGCTCTTAACCATCCCCACCCATGGCAAACTTGTGAATATACATAATCTTGAGCCCTATAAAATACTGTCCTTTTGATTTATCTTCCTTCTGATCTATTCATCTCTAATCACCACCTGAATAACCACCCGAGAACATGATGCTTTTATCAATTCTACCATTTAGGAATCTAATGGCCTCTCAGACCTTTGAGTGGGCCTCTAACAACTGGCCCCATCCTCATTCCTCCATAATCCACACCACCTGTTTCAGTCAGGTCAGTCTCTGGAATGCCCTCTCACAAATCAGCATGTCTTCTGTATTTCTGCTCATTTTTCAAACTATTCTTTCTGCCTAAAATGAAAGAAATTTTTCTTTAAGCTAGATCCTGAACTCCTTGCCTGGTCTAGTGCAATCTTAATGGAACTTCTTACTGATTAATTGAACAATGAACTTCCCCTTTCTCAACTACCAAATCTCAACTCATCCGATTTAATGTCTTAAGCAGCGTCTTGTTTCGTCTCTTTATGCAAGATGTAATCCTTGTTTCCCGAGCTAGAGCCCTTAAAGACAGCATGTCTGTATGCCTCTCCACAGCAGTAACTAAAATGCTTACTCTTCGGACTAAAAATGAATTGCTGCCAGCGTGGTGATATGCTTCCAGGCAATACCATCGCAGAGAGCTGGAAGCCTGAGGCAGGTGTAGGAGCAGAAACACCTGATGTGTATAGGACAGACACACCTGAACACACTCTGTGCCTCTAAGCTACAAAAACAAGAGCGGCAATAACCACCACATCAAAAACCTTTTGATGCTGAATTATATGGATTATAGGACGAAGTAAAAAATTTCCACTAATTTCCAAATGTAGGCTTTTTGGCAGAGGACACAAACCATTAAAAAGAAGGTAAAAGAAAAGGAACTGAGGTAAAAATAGAAGTAGTAGACAATCACTTCCTAAAATGTACAATTCTGTTTACATTCTTCCCCCTCTGGGGCAAAACCCAACTTCCTACAAAAGCCAGAATATCCCTGCTGGGTTTTTTTTGGTTGTGGGGGGGGGGGGCCACACCACGCAGCATGTGGGATTTTTAGTTCCCTGACCAGGGATCAAACCTGTGCCCCCTGCAGTGGAAGTGCAGAGTCTTAACCACTGGACCACCAGGGAAGTCCCCAGAATATCCCATTTTTAATAACCCTAAAACACTTTTCTACTTACAAGAAGGGGAACTGAGAGTGAATGACACTGGAAACCACTGTCTGCTAAAGCTATGAAAGGGGCTCCATTCTTCGAGGGTGGCCCAAAGTGGGAAAGAGAAGCTATGGTGGTCTCACCCATGGCCACTGGGATGTCTGTCCAGTTCAGGGCACACTTCTGTGTGCAGATCCCCTCCTCATTGAGCACCACGGTGAGATCATCCTGACCCACAGCCACCTTTCCATCTGCCAGAGGTGCAACTAAGGGCTCCAGCTGTTTTCCTGTTGGAAATAGCTCTTTGTTGGACCCCTTTCCATCTACCTATAGGAAGACACAAAGTGAGTCACCCATCATTCTCCAGCCAGAGGCATGAACACAGATGGCCCGGAAAAATCCAGTTAAAACCCCAAACCTACAGAAGCCAATAATATTCCTTATTTGGCATAAAGAAATATTACAGTCTGTTATGACAAATTTTGTCATCACAACGTCGAACCAGTTCTCTTTTTCTCTAATGTGGAGACAAGCATCTAGCCTGGCAACTAACAATGTCAATTGCTGGCGAGGATGCAAAGCAATTGGAACTCTCATATGATGCTGGTGAGAACACAAAATGGTACAGCCATTTTGTTTGTTGGCTTCTTATAGAGTTAAATATACACTTACCATGGGACCCAATAATCCCATTCCTAGGCATTTCCTCAGGAGAAATGAAAACCTGTGTTTACACAAAAATCTGTGTGCAAAAGTTTATAGCAGCTTTGTTTATAATGTATAAAAATTTTAAACAACTTTGTCCTTCAACTGATGAATGGATAAACAAACTGTAGTACAACCATACAATGGAATACTGTTCAGTCATAAAAAAGAATATATTGACACACACACAACACAGTTGGATGTCAAATGCATTTACGCTAAGTGAAAGAAGCCAGGCTCAAAAGGCTACATACTGTATGATCCCATTTACATGACATTCTGGAAAAGGCAAAACTATAAGAGATGAAGAACAGATCAGTGGTTACTAGAGGTTGGGGTGTGGAAGGAGGGCTGACTTCAAAGGGGCAGCATGAGGGAATTTCTTGGGATGATGAAACTGTTCTGAATCTTTTTTTTTTCTTTTTTTTGGCCACACGGCATGCGGCATCTTAGTTCCCTGACCAGGGATCGAACCTGTGCCTGCTGCAGCAGAGGCATAGAATCCTAACCACTGGAATGCCAGGGAAGTCCCCTGTTCTGACTCTTGACTGTGGTGGTGGTTATACAACTCTAGGTATCTGTCAAAACTCAGAACTGCACATCCAAAAGAATAAATTTTACTGTCTGCAAATAAATGAATACGTTTTGAATAACCTGGTCCTAAAGCAAGATTCCTCACCCTCAAAACACTCCACCCTCAAGAAGCTGACGGCAACACCTAAGGTAGTCAGAGGAATGAGAGCCCTCTTCCAACTTTTGGCTCTGTCCCCGCCCCTCACAGACTCCTCTCAGGCACCTGTCTGCCTAGTGGCTGTGCAATCAGTTACACAGCAGTAACTCGCCTAGGAGCTTGCAATTCTGATCCTGATAAAATTAGGCTAGTCCAAGAATATAAACAGGGAACAAATATATTAACTAGATAAACAATGAAGAGCTAACACAGAAGGGAGTAGCGAAGTGGGAGGTGGGAAGAAAGACCTCCAGGATTGTCAAGTCTGGATTATGAGAGGGGTATGAAGCTAAGGAATTTCTGTTATTCTATAAAATGAATGGTAAACCAACCTTTTTTACATACAGTCTGCATACTGGAGGGGAAAAAAACCAATGTCGTGGATATTTACCACTTAAGAGAAAAAGCACGTTATAAAACAATGTGTATAACATGAGATTTTTGTAAATAGGGCAGATGCCCATTACCAAAATGTTAACAGTGATTATTTCTGAGTGGGAGAATTACGGATGACTTGCACTTCTTTTCTTTTCCTTATCTATATTTTCTTATTTTCTATAATAAACATATATGGCTTTTGAAATTTTAAAAAAAAAACAGTGAAAATAATTTTTACAACAAATATACTAAAAGATTTTGGGGGGCAGGAAACTCAAAGTCTTAAAAATACTTAAGTTAATACTAAAATTAGTATATAATTCCTCAGCACTGAAGCCTCAAGATAGCAGTCCACGATAATGCTACTGGACAGAGCCATGCAGCCCTAATTATCTAGCCCAATAACTAGATACAGGATATGGATAATTCATTATGTAGAGAACTGAGAGTTGACTCTGCCTGGCTTAAGATACACAGACATCTTATTTGTGAAAGATATTTGGAGCATGAAAGATAACCAAACATACAGACACAAACCCTGTTATGCCAAAAACTCTAGTTAAGGCAGTCTCTTGATCTACAGTTCAGAAGCACATAATCATCTCTCCCAGGTAGACTCATAATCACCTTCCCCAAGGTAAACTGACGATACTTGCAAAATAGTAAATCTTACCCTTATTAGGTAGTAGTCTCTCTTGAAACCCACACAGATAGCATTTTCACACCATGCCATGGACTTGGGCACATCTGGTACACTAAAGTCTCCCTGGAGAAAGACAGCAAGAGTTCAATTGGAAAGATGTTAAAGGAAAAAAACCATGACCTTCCTGTTATTCCACCCCATTCTGCAAAATTACTCTCACCCTCATCTGAATACAATTCTCTTAGCACAAGGCCAGGAAACCACCCATAATAAAAATACAAGTCACCCGTGAGCTGGACAAGGTGCATTCAGAAAAGGTGAAAACCCCCTTTGATATAAATGAATCTGTAGAGATGTAGAATTGTCCTACTCCTGCCTCTGAAGGCCAGGAGACTTTGACAAGTGGGCACAAGTAACTCGTAGGTACTCCTAGCAGAGCATTCATCTGGGGAGAACATCAAGACTGGGCTCCTGAGCTTCACAGGAACTGAAAAGCAAGTCTTTCAAGCTGTGGGTCAACTTAGCAGCAGCTCTCACCCAACCCATGGACCAGGAAACAGTGGACTTTACCTGTAATTCATGAAATTCCCTGTCTTTCCAGAAATAGAGCTGCAGCTTCTTTTTCACAGCCACACACATCCGCAACACCTCCTCCCCAGTCTCTGTGTGCTGGGAAGAGACACCCAGAGCGAATAAGGATGTGCACACGATGACTCCAGAACTGACAACTACATTAGAGACTTTTCTACCTTGAAAAGGCTACTAATCTGAACATCCCTTGTCATACGAAGTCATGCTGCCAGATAAGCTGAACCAAAGCACACCATTCTCTCTAAGATGCGCTCAGAAACAACAGGCTGAGAAGCGCTTGCTCCCCAAGGGCTGCCAGTCAGAGGCCCTGGTCCCAGCAAATGTCATGGGCCTTTATATTAAGAGAGGAAAACCTATATAACTGCTTCCTCCTTTTTTTCTTAAATGCTTCTTGCTCATGGCTGTCAATACCTGCAGGGGCAGGGATCAGCCTGTGTCAGTGACAGCAGGCCCACTTTCAATCCTTTAAAGGAGTGGGGGACGGAAATGCCTAGGCATACAACAAACGATGCAGCGTCAATATAGACCGTAAGTGCTGAAAAGTGATCAAAGCTGAGTAGAGGGGTGACGCAGATTTTGAAGAAGGTAAGGATGACGAATTGGCAAAAATCAGGAGAAATGTCTTTTCCGAATAACGAAAACTCCCTAAAGACAAAGACCACAATGATACGTTCAGAACAAGAGTCACTTTAATGCCCTAAAGCTATGTTCATGTACTGTTACAGTCTTGATTTCCCACTAATGGTTTGTCCATGGCAAGCATTTTCGTCCTCGGTTAGCTGCCTCCTGAAATACAGCTGTCTGGTAGCGCACACACAGGGAATGCAAATGTTTCAACATTTTAAGGGGGAAATTTCTCTAATACAATCCAAAATCAAATATTCTCTTTGGAGTCTCTGCTGAGTTTGGATATCCATGTTATTCTTCCCATCTAATGGTAGGAATGATGTAGGAAAGGCTGCATTTATTAAAGCACAAAGTCAAATTTCATCTCACCCACACTTACCTGGAGGTCACATGTGAACAGTGATGCTCCCTTTGCCTTGGAAACTGTAGTGATTTGTTGAAATGTCAATAGGTCATGGACATAAATATTATTTTCTGTTTGGAAGGAGGTAAAACACCCGTATAAATTCTCACAATTCTCTAGTATAGCCACCTTCAAGACACACACACACACACACACACAGACACACAGACACACACACACACACACACACACACACACAAAATAACTGTGTAACAACCAGAAGAACCAAATGGCAAATACTGGTCGAAGATGTACCTTCAGCTTCACTAACAATGACTTATTCTGGTCCATGACCAGTACGAAAACATTTAGGAAGTCACTTAGTCTTCTAAACTTGTATATTTTGTTCCTTTAAATTTGGGCTGGCTTGAATTAAAGAGCTCTTTCACTTCCAAAGAACACTCTTACACTCTGTCTTTCTCAAGTCTGGAAACTTGTGATGCAATATTTGTACAAGAAATTCCTTTCAAACTCATATTAGGAGGCTCCAGTAAGAGAAAGGAAACCCCCTGTGGATTTTGTACAAAGCCATGGCAAGGATTTCTTTTCTAGCAAAGCCAGCACAATAATTTCACTTGGGCCTCTTAGCTAGTTTTAGTTAATTTAAATTAAATGGTCCTCTCTTGACTAGAAACTAAGTTTAAAATGATTCTACCATTTGGGCCCTGGGCTGAACAGTACAGAGCATGAGGCAAGTTTCTAGTTCTTCTGCTTGTCATGAAAAGGCCTCACTGGCTGCCTTCCATGAAACTATGGCTTTTCAAACAAGGCCTGGAATAGTCTGGCCCTGATCGCTCACCTGTCTCTTACCAGTCTCCACCATATACCCTAAGTCTGGCCAGATTTCAGGGCCTTTGCTTAAGTTGTTCCCTCTGCCTATAACACTCTGCCTACCCCTCTCTTCCTGTTGAAACTCTAGTCATCCACTAGACAATGCTGTCTCTCCCATTACTAAGATCCCAACGACACTTTTTATAAATTTTCATTGTAACTTATCACACTGTAACATGAGTACTTTCTGTCATTTTGGTCTTCAAAACCAGAACCTAAGTTTCAAAGATAGAAACCATGTCTCATTCAACTTGGTATCCCCAATGCCTAGAGTAGGACTCAATAAATATTGAATGAATGAATGAATGAAGTGATACTTCTTGGAGAACAGAGCTCAAGATATGGGGGATGCTGGTGCCTTTACTACCTGTGTACCCTGCTGCATCTGGTTAGGAATGTGTCCGTTTCATTGTTAAGTAACAACTATCAAATTAACCATGAAAGGTTTAATCAGGTCATAGCTTTTGTTTCTTGACACATGAAATACAAATGCAACCCCTTTTCTTACCTAACAAGCTGACCAGAATCTTAAACTGGGAAACCACATGGATCTGGAAAATAGTAAATCATTAGACTCAAACACTTCTGACAAGGTTTAACAAATGTTCATTTTAACTGCAATACTAAAAAAGGGACTAAAAAGCCCATATCAATGACAAGGATCTGACTTATGTGCAATCACAATTTCTGCTCGTGAAAGAGGATCTCAGGTACTTGATGGATGGACAGAGATCCCTGCATAAATGGGAAGACAAAGAGCAGAGGATTCAAAGATGAATAAATAATTTTACCAAAGTCCTAGCTTTGACGGGGTCTCATAGAAGTCAAATATTCTTGTAGCGACCACCATTACGGCCTACCTGCTGAATCTTTTTGGAGAAGTTCTTATTGGATTTCTCTAATGTCACTTCAAACCTGTTGCAACCTATGGGAAAGAAACAAACATTCACGTTTCCAAACACAGGGATACATATAAAAATAACTATGACAAAAAATGCTGCTCCATACTGCTCTCCTACATGAAGTATAAAAAATTCCTTAAAGACTAGAAGTTGGAAATGTAAAATAGCCAGTTGTCTTTATTGAGTACAGTAAGTTGCTTTCAACTCCAATTTTAGAACAGAGGGTTTCACGCACCTTCACTTGGCATTAGCAGAAAGGACCACACCACATTTTACTGAAGCTGCAAGGTACTTATGAGGATTTTATCCTACATAATAGTACCTTGGCAAAGTATGTCACCAAAAGAGTGTAAAAAGTAACAGTCAAATATAGGAGCCCCAGCAATGAATCCCAGCCCAAAGCATCCTTAGACTGAGACAGACTAAATCCCAGCGGTTACCCTGTGTCCCATATGACAGGACAGAGCGAACAACACCATCCCCAGAGCTAAAGCAATTTAATGCATCTACACTTACTGCCACTCTCAGGTGATGCTACCTCTGCTGACACTTGCTAAAAAAGGGAAGAAAGTTATAGACCATAAAAAACACATGAAGCCAGCCTTGCTGGGATGACCAAAACATTTAGGGTCAAAAGTCACCAGAGTCAAAAAGAGAATAATTTTCACAATAATAACAGCCGCTATCATTAACTAAGTAATAGCTAAGTGCCAGGCTCTGGATTTTAAAATTTCTATGTATTCTCTGTAACTTCACAACCACCTCCAGAAGTAGGTATTATTATTCCAATTTCATATCTGAGGAACCTGACAGGTCAAGCAGTTAGGTAGCAGCCAGTGAGAGAAAGCCCAGAGGCAAACTCAGGGCTGACTTTACGTAAAGCCTGTGTGCTGAGCCTGCACCTGCCTCCCGGCTTGGGGAGAGACTATGTTCACAGCCGACCGCTCAAATCGATGGAGATTCTTTGAGGCAGCCACCAGGGCCCACACCACCAAAGCTGGTCTTACTTCCTCCACATGTCCCATAGAAGAGGAGATGAAGACAGGGCCTTGAAGTTCTGGGAGATTCAGAAACCTGCCCTGTATTATGCCATTACATTGCACAAGAAAAAAAAAAAAATCAGCCGTTACTGCTTGATAAAGAGTTCTGTATTTGAAAAGGACTTTATTACCTCTAACAATTCTCTTTATGAGCAGAATTATCTAGGGCAGAGTTTCTCACACTTTTTGGCCTCAGGACCCCTTCATCTTAAAACTTACTGAGGACCAGAACTTTTACATGGATTATAGCTATCAATGCTTACCATTACAAATTAAAACAGGAATTTAAAAAATGTGTATTTAAAAAAATTTTTTTTAATAAACTTATTTATTTATTTATTTTTGGCTGCTATGGGTCCTCTTTGCTGCTTGAGGGCTTTTCTCTAGTTGCGGCGAGCGGGGGCTACTCTTCGTTGAGGTGAGAAGGCTTCTCACTGCGGTGACTTCTCTTGTGGAGCATGGGCTCTAGGCTCTCAGGCTTCAGTAGTTGTGGCACATGGGCTCAGTAGTTGTGGCTCGTGGGCTCTAGAGCACAGGCTCAGTAATTGTGGCGCACGGGCTTAGTTGCTCTGTGGCATATGGGATCTTCCCAGACTAGGGCTCGAACCCGTGTCCCCTGCATTGGCAGGTGGATTCTTAACCACTGCACCATCAGGGAAGCTCCAAAACAAGTATTAACTGACTTAAACATAACAGTAATAAGCTCATTACATATCAGTGTAAATAACACATTTTTATGAATAATAACTATTTTTCCAAATTTAAAAGAAAAGCATTGTTTTACACTTTTGTAAATCTCTTTAATGTCTGGCTTAATAGAAGACAGCTGACTCTCACATCTGCTTCTGCATTTAATCTGTTTTGACACGTTGTTTGGTTGCGGTATATGACAAACATCTGTCCTCATGTGGACATTTAGTTGGAAAAGAGAGGAATATTTTAACAGCTTTTTTTCAGATAATTGTGGATCTTCTTTGACGCTATACAAAAATTTGACAAATGGAGTTTCTTGCAATCTGGAATCTGAAACCTATTAATGAACTTTTCTGTAAAAGTCCATTGGTCTATCTTACACTTCAAATGGCTCTTTTATTCATGCTTGGTTTAGAAATTTCATGCACTGGAAAATACTGGTTCACATAGTTATGCAGATTTTCCAAATGTTGACACATTTTGTTATAGGGCTGAAAAAAAATCATGCTCATTATCACTCCTCATCTCATCAGGAAAATCATAAGTATGGAGAAGCTGTCAAGCTCATGGGGATGGATACAATTTTTCCACAATTCTAATTTTCTCTTGAAAGCTCTATCTTCATCATTAGTAACAAATACTGCCAGTTGTTTTCTTTGAAGTGACAGACTCTCTTTGTTCCTTTGTGAGAAAACATCTACCAAACACCCAAATGGTCTGAAAAACCGCAGTCTATCTGTTAGTCATTCTCTCAAGCAAAAATGTTGCTCCATGAAATAAGTGGTCAGTTCAGCTCGTTGCTCCAACCATCACATAAGTACTTTTCCCCTGAGACAGCCACTGGGCTTTGTACCTTGCACACAGCTGAAGTGCTTCAGGTGTACTTCCCATTATATCACAGATTATTGAAAAGAGGTGTTTTCAAAGGTCAAGATAGAATAAAATTAATACTTTTTACTGCCCCACAAAGAACATTCTTAAGTGAAACTGGCTTAAAGGAAAAAAAAAAAGCACTGTGAGCACATGCTGGGCAAAAATACAACTGCTTGGACAGTGTGGTGCCAACAAGACTGCCGACCACTGTCTTGAACTTGTTATGAGGGGCAGCAGTTTTAGCTGCCTTACTTGGGTACCGTCAGTGCAAATGTCAGTGAAAAAACAATAATGTTTTAGTGTTACTGTGAACTCAAGTTTCGACGTTGTGGCTCCTCTGAAAGGATTTTGGGGAACCTCCTGGGGTCTAGAAACTTTTGACTGGAAAAAAATGCACAACCTAAAAGTTGAGAATTATGTTTTATTCTGTAGACTTGCTAAGGACTTAAGCCAAGGAGGAGCCAGGATATATAGGAGTTCAGACAAAAAAAACAGGTAGTCAGACATCAAAAGATTACTGCTATGTAAGAAAATCAGACTCCTCAGGTTTCTATGTATGGGAGGATGCAAGAGTCTGGGCTCACTGAAATCATTCCTTTGATATGCATCTTAACTATCTAGGGCCAGCATCCTGTTTTTCTCCCTCCTGAATACCCTCAGGGTGCATATCTGAGGCTGCAGTGGCTGCCTGATGGCTTGAGGGCCACATCCTTTGTTTACTGATGTGGCAGGTGACATTTTTCCTCCACAAGACCAAACTTTGAGAACCACTGCTCTAGGGTGAGGCATCACTGAAGTAAACACAAAGTTATGACCTTAGATAAGAAGAAGTAATCTAACTCCTCTGTTTAAGAGTAGACTGAAGTCTCTGAGTAGATCGAAGCCTAGAGACGTTTGTGAACTCACAGGAAGGGGATGGCTCAGATCAGATCAGAGTTCAGGTCCCCTTAACCCCAGTCTTTCCATGACATCTCACTACCCGCTCTCTCCCTTCCCTCAGAAAGATAGTCTGGTCGTAGCCTTACTGAGGTTTTGATAGGGACAGAGTAAAGGGACAAAGTAGGAAATTAGTCAATCCCACTAGGGGACTGTAAGTAAAGAAAAAAGTATGGGAGACCCCTGTAAGTTAATGACCACTCAAGAAAGCTGGTTTATTTAACCACAAAACCAAGCAGGCTTGCTTAGCAACAAAACCATGCAACAGAAGCACAAGACATGCTCCAAAACAATAAAACAATGGTGGCATGAGACACACATCCTGCCCAGTGAGCTCAGTAAGTTATCGATTCCTAGAACATGCTCCTCTGCACGCACTAAAAACAAAAATATAAGGAAAAGGTGACATTATACTGAAACCTGAGATGATGTGCCATTTTTAGCATATGTTACTACCTTTTTGCTCATTTCCATTGCGCCATGACAGTCCTGGCTTGATCATGTAGGGATAAGAAAATTCCTTTGCCTGATGTGGAGGAGGAACTGATGACAGAAGCATCAGATGACAGAAGCATGACACCTACTCAAGAATGAGGAAGAAGGTGGTCTTTTCCCCCTCCCCACTTTTCCCTTGATTATAAAACTGTAGCCCACTAAGTTCTCGGGGCATGGCCCGCTTATAAGCCTCACAAGTATCCTATTCTAATAAATCACTTCTTATCTATCGCTTTGCCTCTCAATGAATTCTTTCTGCGCTGAGACATAAAGAACTGGAGCTCCTCGGAGCCTCCCAAAATGCCATCTAGTGGTTTCAGTTCGGAATATCTCAAATTTAGAAACCCAGTTAGTTCTATGGCTGATTCATGGAGGCCCAGGTCTACTTCTGGCCCATAAACAGACTACAGCTGGTCCAGAACTGAACTGTTCTCTAGGGGTATAGGGAGAAGTGAAGTACCTAATCAGTTTGATTTCCTAATTATCTAAGGTAGGTTAATATTGCTATTCAAGTTACCTGTGGGGAAACTGAGGAAGAATAACTAACTTGTCAAAGGTTACATGGTGAATTGGTCACAGGGCAAGAAACAGTTGGCACCAGGGTTCCAAGTCACATTAACATTAATATTACCAGTTTGAGTCTATACTATGTTGAAAAGTTTATTCTTATAGTTTAGTTTTCAATTCCTTACCACTTATACAGAAATGATATATTAAACAAGTTACTTTATCAGAGTATTTAGTATTTGATGGCACAAAGAACTGATTATCTCTTGGGATAAGAATATTAGGCTCTCTTTATCTCCCTGCTTTGCACGTCATCTGAGCCCCGCAGTAGACAGTCAAAACACAGTTGTTGAAAGCCGAATAAAACCAAAGGCAGGCTTAATTTTTAAATTACAGACTGGGTCAATGTCACAGAATACAAATATTCTGGCTCTGAGAACTAAAATTTAAAGCAAGGGCCAGCAAAGTACTGCCTGGGGTCAAATCCAGTCCTCCACCTGTTTTTGTAAATTACCCTTTACTGGTACACAGCCACACCCATTCATTTACATGCTGTCTACAGCTGCTCTTTTGCTACAGTAGCAGAGTACAGTAGCCACGATAGAGATGTTACGACCTGCAAAGCCTAAAACATTTACTATTTGTGTAAGCCAATAAGGTAGAGGGTGCGCGGAGAAAGAGAACCAGTCATAGTTTTCTTGACATAAGAGAAACCATTTTTGGCCCAAGCCATTTTGTGAGCTAAGCCTGGCCACAATGCTTGTCCTTGGACAGATATCAGTAATAACTATCTTAAGGGAACAAAAGAACAAACCTTTATCAGGCAAGAAAAGTAACAATAGCAAAGATAAAAAATCAGGTGAAAAGACTCCCAGTTCTGTTTTAGTGGTAAAGATTAGCCTTGCTTTCTTGAGATTTTGCAGAATTTAACCCCCTCTAAGGTGCTCAACCACCAGATCAACTGGAACCTAAGGGATGATGATGTTGACCTTTTCAGACCCTCAGTCACTTCACTCAGCTAACGCCTGGACTCTCAACTACCCAAGGCCCTTCATGAATATGCATGGACCCTTAGCTTAAAAACTTCCCCAACTTTGCTGTTTGGGGAGACATTGCTTTGGGAAAGATCCCTAGTGCTTTCCTTACTTGCTGCAAGTAATAAATCCTTCCTTCTCCCACTCTCTGCCTTGGTTGTGTCTTTTGGCTCAACACCTACTAAGAGGCAAACCCAGTTTTCAGGTAACATTTAGTCCTTTTTTGGGAACAAGTTGGCTGAATCCTGATTTAAAGGAAAGTTGAAAAACTTGGAAATGAAATACAGTAAGTCCCCTACATACGAACCTTCCAAGTTGTGAACTTTCGAAGATGCGAATGTGTTCCATCAACATCAGGCGTGAGTGAAATTGCAGCTTGACCTCCGATTGTGTTAGCTGGCTACGTAGGCTAACTTTGTTGGACACTGAGGCTAACTTTGCTGGACTTACGAACGGGCTGTCAGAATGGAACTCGATCGTATGTAGGGGTCTTACTGTAAACCCTGTTTTGATTTTCTGGTTTCTCTTCTTATCCCACCACAGAACCTGACCAGGTACCTTCCTCCCTCCCTATTGTACCAGTGAAGGGTAGCAGAATATGCCACCCCAAAATATGCTACTCTGGCACAAGGATTATTTTGAGTTGAAGGTAACTGAGAAGAAGCAGATATAAGAAAAGCTTTCTGCTCTCCACCATCTGCCAAAGAGCAAGACACAAATTTACAAAGGTGCCTCCCCTCTCTCTATCAAGGACAATATTTAATCAATTTAGAGACAACTTGTGACCCATATCAGCCCACAGACTGCACCAGAGGAATCTACATAACAAACATCTCTAATTAGTTCTCCCATATATTTGCCTTCCCATAATTTGCCACTGTAGAAACTCAAAGTCCTTTTCCTTTGTTTTGTTGCTTCTCTGATTTACAGGTCCCCATACAATCAACCTAAGATGGGTAGAGTTAAAAAGAATTTTTTCCTCCTTTACATTAGTAAGATACTCTTTTTTTCCCAATATGTTACCCTTGCTACAGGTTCCAAAGAGAAGGCTCTATTTCCACACTTACATTAAGCTATTCACTATGATAAGTTATATATTAGGTTGAAAGCTATGAAATTTTGTTTTTTCTAATATAGCCAAATAATGACAATTTCATATGGTTCAACCTACTCTGGCATTAACAGCTGACTTCTATACTCTGTAGCTCCAGGGTATAATATCCAAACACATCAATTTTCCAGAGAACACAAATAAAATTAGGAAAAGGGAGCAAGGTACTTTTTTCCCCATTAGAGGGCACTCTAACAGAAAAAACGTCAAATACTTTTAGTTATTCTACATATTTACTGACAAAGAAATATTTGATTAAAGTTTTAGTTTTCAAAGTCCTTGCATCTGACCCCAACAATTTTGTGAGATGCTTTATGGAAGAGGAAACTGACATTGGAAAGGACCTACTCATAGTCACGTGACTGGAGAGAAGTAAAAGCTGACTCAAGCCCAGGTCCCCTCTGTCCTAGTCCACCCCGCAGATGTTTAACAAGATCTTTAACATCAATGGTTCTTAATTTTTTTTTCCTACTACCATACCATTTACATGAGAATTTTACTCCCATTAGTAATATTTCTTATTTCTGGTATGAGTCTCCAAGAAGTGAGAAGGGAAAAAACATCTAGCCCCACCTCCCAGATGGGGGGTAGGGAAATACAGTCTGAAAAAAAGAGAAAACCCTGGAGATTCTCACAAGTTTCTCCCCACTTTTCCACTGCACTACCGCCAACCCGCAGTCACTCTTTTAACGGTCCAGTTTTAGTATATGCGCTGCTGAAGCAAGCACTCTTTTAATGGTCCAGGAATCACTGATTTTACAGTGTATACATATCTTTTTTTTTTTTTTACATGAGCAGTAAGCCACCTCGTACTTTGTTCTGAAAAGCTGCCACTTACCAACATCCTTCCGAATCCTATAGAGAAGAAGATGACCTTGTTTCGTTCCAACAAGCAGCCATTCCTCTGGAAAAGAAAAGGACCATCAGCTTTAGTAAGACCCTATTTCTTTAGCTGGAGCTTATAATCAGAAATCAAAGGGTTGAGAAAATGAGTTGCTTTTGATACTAGGTGTTTTGCAAAACTAAGGAATGTTTATATTCAAGAAATGCTTGAGGGACTTCCCTGGCGGTCCAGTGGTTAAGACTGCACTTCCACTGCAGGGGGCACAGGTTCATCCCTGGTTGGGGAACTGAGATCCCACATGCTGTGCCGTGCAGCCAAAAAAAAGGAGAAAGAAATGTTTGAGAATCAATTGAAGAAATATTTATTGAACTAGGTGAGACATATTAGAGAATGAAAAATGTCCCTGGCTTCATTGCTTCAAAATGAAACTGACCAAAAATTTGATGGAAGTTTATAAAATGGGTAGTATAAACATAAAACTAGGTATCTAATCTCAGAAATAACAGCTAAAAGGCATCCTTTGAAGGTTTGATGATTTTACTTTAGGAAAAATAAGAAGTGCCATAGCATATTAAACTTACAGAATTCATTATCTCAAAAGATGGTCTAACAGATAATAATAAGTGTTGCCAAAGATGTGAAGAAACTGGAACCCTCATACATTGTTGGCAGGAAAATAAAATGGTGCAGCCCTTTGAAAAACAGTCTGATAGTTCCATAAAAGACTAAACATAGAGTTACCATATGACCCAGCAATTCCACCCATGGGCATACACACAACAGAAATGAAAACATATGTCCACATAAAAACTTGTACATAAATGTTCATAGGAGTATTATTCACAATAGCCAAAAGGTGGAAACAACCCAAGTATCCATCAACTGATGAATGGATAAACAAAATGTGACATATCCATACAATGGACTATTAGCCATTAAAAGGAATGAAGTGCTGATATATGCTACAATAGGATGGATCTGACAACATTATGCTAAATAAAAGAAGCCAGACAAAAAAGGCTACATATTGCATGATTCTATTACATGAAATGTCCTGGATAGGCAAATCTAGAGACAGAAAGATTAGTGGTTGCCTGGGGCTCGTAGGCTTAGGAAAATGGGGCTGGTGGGACTGGGGAAAAAGAAACGGGGTTTCTTTTTAGGGTGATGAAAATGTTCTAAAATTGCGGCAATACTTGCACAACTCTGTGAATGTACTAAAAACCACTGAATTGTACACTTTAAATGGGTGAAATGTATGGTATATGGATTACATCTCAATAAAGCTATTATTTAAAATTTAAAAAAAGATGGTCTAGGCCAGTGGTTCTTAAACTTTGGTGTGTATCAGAATTGTTTGGGGATTTATTAAAACAGATTACGGGGCTTCCCTGGTGGCGCAGTGGTTGAGAGTCCGCCTGCCAATGCAGGGGACACGGGTTCGTGCCCCGGTCCGGGAAGATCCCACATGCTGCGGAGCAGCTGGGCCCGTGAGCCATGGCCGCTGAGCCTGCGCGTCCGGAGCCTGTGCTCTGCAACGGGAGAGGCCACAACAGTGAGAGGCCCACGTACCACAAAAAAAAAAAAAAAGAAAAAAAAAAACCAATTGCTAGGACCTGCCCTCAAGTTTCTGATTCAGTAGGTCTGGAAGCGGGCCTGGGGATCTGCATTTCTAACAAGTCCCCAGGTGATGCTGATGCTGTTTGTTCAGGGACAGCATTTTGGCAGACATCAGTCTAGGCTAAAAGGCAAAAGGTTCTGAAAGGACTTAAATAATTACCCTGACAGATTTATATTAAATTACTAAGGAAAATTAAGCATGTACTTCCTCAGGTTTTTGAGGTTGTAACAGTCACTTATTCCTTTCATGAGCTCTTGATCTTTTGCAAAATAAAATATTAGATAATGACATAAATAGATAAACTTTATAGAGCATGCATTGTGTTCCAGGAAATGCTAAGAACTTATCATAGGTTATAACAACTATCCTTTGACTTATGTCCTTTTCTCAAATCCCCATTTTATAGATGAGAAAGTTGAGGCCTAGGTAACTTGTCCAAAGTCACACATGTAGTAAGATATGTGTAGCAGGGGCAGGATTCCAACTCCAGTCTGTCTGATCCGTAACTCCATGCTACAATGCACTTACTAAGGCATCCCATCTCAAAAGAACAGGTGTCAGCCAGAGGCTGTCTGAAAGACAATGGTTATGTTTATAAAAACAGGTCAGGAACCACATCAGGAACATTTCTCCAGGGTGATGTCCTTAGTCTTCCAGAAAAAGATAGTGACTCTGTCCTCTTTTGGGTTTTAAAGTAAAGGCGGAGCACAGAAAGTTAAGACACAGTGTGCTCTCAATGACATAAGTGGGAATCAGAAATAACACTAGCTCCAATGGAACACTGGTGATTTATGTCGGAGCAGAACATGGTGAAAAAAAGAAAAGAATTCAGTTCACAATGCTTGCTTTGCAAACGATACTATGTTTAGAACTTTACTTATAGATATCACTGTATTGAGCAATTGAAAATATTAAAGTTGATTTTTAGGACACCCACTAATGTTTCAAATACAAATAAAATGAAGTAGAATCTTTTTTAATTCACTTATAACATATAGAAAAATCTATAGCAAAAAGGCCATCATAATGTTCACCATCTTCCCCATCCTCTCCACTGTGACCCCCAAGCCCCTGCCAGTTCCTATTTTTCTTTACCTCTTTCAACAGCTTCATCTCCCACCCTGGTCTGCAAGGCCTATCAATTTTACCTCTACAAGGTACCTGGCAACAGCCCTCCCCAACAGAGTCTCTCCAGGGTCCCCTCAGCTGGTCTCACTCTATGTGTACTTCCATGTTTGCTATCTGTTACCATAGAGCATAGCTCCAATGCTGTCACACTGGGGCTTAAAAAAATCCACATGAAGCTGTACTACCAAAATATGAAGCCAAACTCCTAAGTATGACTTTTAAGAGTCTGCTTTCCATTTTTATTGAAATGTTTATTTACCAATAGATGTTTCTATCAAATGTCTACTCTATTGGTCATGAAATTGAATCAGACAAATTCATTGAAATTAAAAAAAAATTAAATTGAAATTTTATTTGATCTTCCTCAAGCATTCCTTTGGAGATGCTGAGGAAAATGCATTTCTCATACATGCAAAGTATTGTTAACAGCTTTCTTTTAACTAGTAAAAGCACCACACACATACTCATTCCTAATCCTCAAACTCATAAGGAAAAACAGTGGGGACTTCCCTGGTGGCGTGGTGATTAAGAATCCACCTGCCAATGCAGGGGACACGGGTTCGATCCGTGGTCCAGGAAGATCCCACATGCCACGGAGCAACTAAGCCCGTGCGCCACAACTACTGAAGCCCACACACCTAGAGCCCGTGCTCCACTGCAATGAGAAGCCCACGCACCGCAATGAAGAGTAGCCCCCGCTCGCTGCAACTAGAGAGAGCTGCAACTAGAGAGATCAGTGAAGATCCAATGCAGCCAAAAATAAATAAGTTAATTAAATTTATTAAAAAGAAAAGAAAAACAGTGTATCACTCAGAGGTAATGATGGCATAGAGCTCTGAAGAGGCTTGATTTGGTTACAGACATCAGTGGGGGCTCAGATGGCCAGAGGACCTGACCCAGGCTGGCCTGTGCACACTCTATGTCATCATATAACACAGCCGTGCAGACAAAACACAGAAAATGAAAAGCCTGCAGAGCAGGCAGAGCACGGGATAGACAGTCCCTTCTGATACTCAACATTGCACATCAGAAAGTGGAACACACTACACAAATGGGTAACATATGCAAAAACAAACAAGAGTCAGCCCTAGAAAATTCCTGATGGCCTAATCCTGAGCCACAGGTTAGACATGATTCCTCCTGGGAAGGAAGGTAGAGCCCTCTAGCTCACAATTACCCTAGTGAAGCTCCATCCAACATTGCAACCCAGTCCAAACTCATGTGATAAACAACCACTGCTGAACACAGCAGGGAGTACACAGACGAACAGGGTAGTGGGCACTTATCTTCTTTGGGTCATACGGCAAAGAACAGTGTTTCTCAAAGCATCAGACCCTATTTAGCTACATCAGAATCACTTGGACTTAATAAAAATGCACATTCCTAAGCCCTGCTCCCAGAGATTCTGATGCAATGAGTCTGTGGTGGTGGCCCAAAATCTGTATTTTTTAATTACATGAGACATTTACCTAGTTCCAAAGCTAAAACTATGAGAAGTCCCTCCTTGTCCACTTCCCCCTGTTCTCTTTCTTCTGCTATAGGTAACTTTTTTTTTTTTTTTTGCAGTACGCGGGCCTCTCACTGTTGTGGCCTCTCCCGTTGCAGAGCACAGGCTCCGGACGCACAGGCTCAGCGGCCATGGCTCACGGGCCTAGCCGCTCTGTGGCATGTGGGATCTTCCCGGACCGGGGCACGAGCCCATGTCCCCTGCATCAGCAGGCGGACTCTCAACCACTGCGCCACCAGGGAAGCCCTATAGGTAACCATTTTAATCATTCTTGATTTATTTTTCCACTGTTTCTTTGGAAAATATAAATAAAAATGATTGGGTATACACACACACAGATACACACACACACCCTACATTTTTATAGGTTCTGAATATACATCAAAGTTTGAGAAACAGGCTCTAGAATCAGACATGATTTACTGGATGTGACCTTGGAAAAACTACTTAAATTTTCAGGTTCTTCTTCTGCAACATAGAGTTGTTATTATTTCATAAATGCTTAATACAGATTAGTACTCAGTAATGGAAGCCATTACTACTATTAATTAATTAAGCAAATATTTAATAAGTATCCATTATGAGTCAGGAACTGTTCTAGGCACTGCAAATAAACCTATGTACAAAACAAAGTCACTGCTCTGAAGAAATTTATATTCTAATATGGAATGAGAGAGACAATAATAACATATAAAATAGCATTAGGTGGCAATCTGTGAAAGAAGATAAGGCTGAGTAAAAGAGTAGCACATTGGTGGATGTCGCATTTTCTTTTATACAGAACAGTTAGGGAAGGTCTTGCAGATTTATGTGACATTTCAGCAAATGAAATGAGGAATGAGCCATATAATACCTAGGACAAGAGAGTGCCAGGCAGAGGAAACAGCAAGTGCAAAGGCCCTAAGATAGTTACATGCTTTTGTGCTCATGGAACAAGGAAGACAGTGTTACTAGTATCAGAAAGGAGCAAGGGATAAGAACATAGGGGATAAAATCAGGGAAATGCACAAACAGAAATGCCATATGCTGAGCTATGGGATACATGGGGACAGGCATGTTTTGAAATCAAGAACTGTTTTGGCCATGCAACCAGATATCCAAATGAAGATGCTGACGAGGCAGCTGGATTCTACAACTACAGAGTTTCAGGAGAAGTCATTATCATCATCAGTATTTTCCTCATTTCCATATCCCAGGAGATGGATTATGGTGGCTCTGTGACATCTTCCAGCTCCAATATTGTCTGGCTCTCCAGAAGCCTGGAGGTTTCTGGATGAACTTTCCGCCTAAGGTCATGGTGTAGATAGAAGGAGTAACAACTAGAAATAGCAATATTTATTGCTGGTAAAGTCTGAAAATAAAGTAGTTTTGAGGCACAAGGCAGTAAATGGCCTCTTGTAGCCAATACCTATCACAGCATCCTAGTAGGCAATGGGTGTTTCTCCTGTTTGCTTGGAGATCAGGCGGAGCGAAAGCTATCTACCATTTCAAAAACTGTATTTCTGGAAAGCACAGGTTCAGGGAATCTTCACTGACACAAACCAGAGTTGGTGAAAGAGACTGAGATATGTGTACTGCTAGTCCCACAGGGTATCAGAGTCAAGAATTCTGACAAGCTAAGTACAGTGTGATAAGCAGCTGCATCCATCCTTTTCAGAAGTATATGTCTGAGGCTGAGTGGAATACCCCTCCCTCCACGTTCCCATGTTAGGCAGCATATGTCTTTAGTATCATTTATCTTGCATCGTAATCTGTTCATATTTCTTTGCCTGCCACTGTGTGTCCTAGGAGCACAGGCATTGTTTCTTATTCATCCTTGTATTCCTGTTTCTAGCAGAGAGACTGGTCCATGTAGGCACTTAATACATACTTGATGAAGAAACAGGAGAATGAGCCCCTTTGTGCTGAGTGTCAGGTCTTTCATTTTTTCAATTTCTTTATTTCTCCTCTATTTATTTTTAATTTTTACTGAGAGCATTTAATGACAGAAAAATGGCGGTTTTCTTGAGACATCTGGAGGAAGCAGGATTCTCTCCTTAACCCTAGGACAGCTTGCTGTGGAGGTGTGACTTTAAAGAGGCCAAGAGCTAAACAACAAGGTCCTACTGTAGAGAACAGGGAACTATATTCAATATCCTGTGACAAACCATAATGGAAAAGAATATGAAAAATAATGTATATATATATGTATGTATAACTAAATCACTTTGCTGTACAGTAGAAATTAACACAACATTGTAAATCAACTATACTTCAATAAAATTAAAAAAAAAAGAGGTCCAGGGCTGCTAAAGGTTGGGGTGGTGGTGAGGGGCACACATTAATAAGATCTAGAGTGAAAGCACCTTACTGAAAAGGATGTGGAGAACTCTGACTAGGTGGCACTGTCCACAGATAATGAATAGGACACCAGCTTCCACCAGGCCCATCATGGGTACCTGGCTCAATATAAGATCTGATTGAGGGTTCTGAGCCACCTTTTTATGATTTCTAGGACCTGGACATTAACAGGAAAGACTGAAATTACTTCTGTTTGGTCTTTGGTTATCAGACACACACTCACAGATAGGAGCATAATATCTGTAGTTAAGAGTCAAGATTTATTTCAGAAACCATTTGTATTCTGGAGCAGAGAAGATACCCGACCCTGCTTTCTGCACTGACCAATCCCAAAAGGATCATGCAAGTTTTTATAGGTTAGGTTTCATGACAGCCTGGAATGATGCTCTTCTACCTAGAAAAGCTAGGTAACTTGGGCATTTTGACTATAAGGCAATCAACCATTTGGCTAGATTAAGAGTGGAGAGTAACAAGTTAGCTACAGTAATTAGAAGTAAGCGATGAGTGATCACTAAGGGGGAAAAGACATAGCTGTTAACTTGTTCAATGCAAAAAACAAACCATCAAAAGCAAACAGCTCCACCACCCTCGCTGTCAACAGTGCTCTGCCCTCCCTCATCCTAGGCCCCTCTCGGACGGTGTTCGACCGGAGTCCACACAGCCAGACTCCCGTCCACTTCCCTAGCCTCGTGAAAGGTCCCAGCCGCTCCCGCGCTGGCCCCGCCTGGCCCCTCGGCTCACCCCAGGCAGCCAGACAGTCGATCTGCAGAGGCAGCTTTTCTAGGATCGGCACCGGTTCAAAGGCGTCGTGCATGGCGGCGGGCGCAGTCGCCGCCGCCGCAGTCTCACCCGGACTGTGCCGGGTCGGGTGTGGGGACGGAATCAGGCCAAGGGAAGAGCCGGGACCCCTGCTACTGGCTCTTGGGCAACAGAGCCATCAACACCGGACTTCCTGCAGAGCCAAGCCCGCCCCTTCCGCAACCGAAGCCCCGCCCCTTCCGCTCAGGTTCCTAGTGCACACTCGAGGAATGCCCTGGTGATTGGGACCCGTGTTTCACCCTGGACCGACCTTTCTCCATCGTGGAGTGCGAGTGGCCATGGGCTTAACAAGAAGGATAAAGGATTTTAATCTTAAAACTGTCTTGGGCAGCATAGGGTGGTGAAGAATTCAGGCTCTGGTGTCAGTTAGACCTGGGATGGAAACGTACCATTTAGGAAACGAGCTAAGTAGCTGTGGCGTTTAAGAAACAATCTCTACAAGTTTTAGTTTCCTTATCTGCAAAATGATGGTAGTGTTGTGTACCTACCTAACGTGTGAACGCTTAGCAACGCCTGACAATGTAAGCACTCAATGGTAGTTTTAGTATTACCATTATAAACCCAACTAGTTCGAGTACCTTACCCTTGTATTTTACGGGTTAGTCTAGGCCTGTGGTTCTCAAAAGTGTGGTCCCTAGATCAGCATCACCTGGGAACTTGTTAGGCAATCTCAGACCTCATTCCAGCCCTATTGACTCAAAAACTATGGAGTGGGGAGTCCAGTAGTCATTTAATAAGTCCCCAAGGAGAGTCCATGAACTTTAAAGTTTGAGAACCAATTCAAGAATGATCTGTTAGTTTAGCCCCAAGAAAACAGCAGACATGTCATAAAATTAAGCATTTGGTTTAAAGCAAAATGTAAAAGAAAAAGGAGTGAGTCTATGATGTAAGGTGTTAAAAAACAAAAACAAAAACCCACCGGCCCTGGTCAGTTTTACAGTCTCTTCATCTGTAAATTAGGAATACCGTCCCATCTTTATCAAATGCTGTTTCTGATGATCAAATGAAATATTTTCAAGTAGTAAGAAACACAAAAATTGCTAAACAAATCTTGTGGCTGGTTTTCACCATAGAAACTGAACAACTTGAAAATTTAGAATTACCAGCTGGTGTGCTAAAAGAAGGCCGAATACCTTGTAGTTCCAGACCCAAGGACCAAGACCAAAATAAACAATGTAAACTCTAAGGTAACAGGTCAGTGTGATACTACAAATTCCTTCTGAACCTCTTCTAGGAACTGATACACTATAACCAAGCAAAGTAACACAAGAAGCCATAAGAGAAAGCAGAAAGAATAATCAAGCTATAGAATTTGTGCTATACACTCCTGCTTAAAACAACAGGTTCTTGGGAATTCCCAGGTGGTCCAGTGGTTAGGACTCGGCACATTCACTGTCAAGGCCCAGGTTCAATTCCTGGTCAGGAAACTAAGACCCTGCAAGCCACATGGCATGGCCGGGGTGGGTTTTTTTTTTTTTTAACCTAGTCTCAACTTAATATCTAACCAGTCTCGAAAAATATTTGACCAACTATCCTGCTGCATTATGACTGCTATTCACTTGCTAAGTTTCATTATGGAAGAAGAGAAGCACACGAAGTTAACACCAGCCTTTTGCAAATGGGTTAACCTGAGAATAGTCAGTTCTTCATATTGTTTCTTAGAGATACTATCTAGGTGACTTTTTTTGTTGTTGTTAATCACCATACCAAACAACTATAGAGAAATGTTACACAAATATTTAACACTTTAGTGAAGATTGTAGTAGTGTGGTCACTGGTTTGAACAGAAAATAAGACAACATAGAATAAAAACCATGGAAGGAAAATTCTACAAGAGAGAGTTTGGGAGAAAGAAGGAGAAAGTCTGGAAAAAAAGTGAGAAAAATATATCAATTTTGTTAAAATTTTTTAATATTAAAAAGTGGCATGAACTTTCTATGTAGAACAAAAAATCTTGGGAAGGCAAAATTGGACAAAATCATTCAAACAAATATAGTGCTTCAAATGAATCCCATCACCTTGTGATGTTTCTTATAAACCATCCTTAAACCAACACCAGATACAAGAAGAGTCGATCCTAAAGAATGAGCAGCAGTCCAGGGCCTCCACACTATTTCATGCAGAAAAAACTGTTAAGCCAAAGGACCTGTTTCCTTTGTATTAGCTCCTGCTTCTGAAGCATTATAATCCCTTTAACAGGGTGCTCACTCACATGCACATACGACGGAGTGCCTTTCTGCATCTAGTGCAACACCCAGTAAAAGGCATGAAGGCAAGCAAAGCATTGCCTAGGACTCTGCAATGCTGCCCTTGAAGGCTTACAAAACAGTAGTTAAAAGTTCTGGAGTGTGCACCACATTGCCAGCAATGGGATGTGTCACAATAGCAGATGTCAAAAGAGTTAAGCTAATATTTCTCTCTAAAGTACATCTGAAATAGAAAAATCTTTAATATACACCGTTTGTAAACAAAATTGCACTTGATTTTGCTTTTTCAAATGATCTAAATCACACTGTAACAGTCTCTCTCTTTCTTTCTTTTTTTTTTTGGTTGTTCTTTTAATTATTGTTAGAACCATGGCTCCTTAACGCAGAAGGACTCCTTTTTCTCAAAACTACCTCTGCAAGATTTAACCTTGGCTTCCCAGGAAATGCAAAGATAATTAACAATTTCCCCCATCACCTATGTAACTCCCTAAATAAATTAAAATTACAGGCAGTTGCTCCTGGATATTACTTATTATGGTGTTGATGACACAGTTCTTCAGAAGATGTTAAATTTTTTAGTTTGACAGATTAAACAATTTAAACATTATAGAAGGTTTAGGAACAACATACACAAGTTGCATAAACATCCATGTCAGGGTGTGGGAGGGAAAGGGGCATCAATGCTGCAAATAAAAAACTTGTAGATTTTTCTCATCCTATGACCTTGTTTTCAATAGAATGTTCTCCTTGTTCCAACACCTCTCGCCAGCTCCAATGCACAAAGATCAAGGAACAGATCAGGATGTCATTGCCTCCTTTAATCCCATGGAGCAGTGTAAAGACTAACACAGAAGCTGATCTCTTCCCAGATACTAGCCATCTTCAGCTGCAAACCTTCCCATTCTTTACTCCATTTTCGACCTTTCAAAGTGCGTGATCATTCGTTCCTAGGGGGAAAAAGGTTATACTAAGTATATTAATTTTAAATGGCCTACATTCCAAATATCTTTTCCAAAGATGACCACACACACATTTTCTATAAGTACTTGCTTATGTTCATTAAATATTTAGAGCAATGGTTCCTAACCATCTATAAAGATTTTGAAACACACAGATGTCCAAGTCCCAAGATTAACTGAAGCAAAACCTCTAGGCTTCTGGACAACAAACCACAAATCAAAGGGAACTGTATATTTTAGAGTCACTTAAGCTTTAATAAAAATGTGTACCTCCTCTGATTCAGGAATTTAACTTAATGAAATAGTCAAGGATGCAGGCAAAGACTTAGCCACTAGCATCTCCACTGCAACACTCAGAATTATAACAAAATACTAGAAAGAATTAAGTGTCCAAAAATATAGGACTGTATAAACAAACTATAGTATATCCTTACAATGAAATATACTGATTAAAATTACATATGATGAAAAAGTTCTAGAGACCTGTTGCAAAGCAGTGTGCATATAAGTCAACACTTTGCACTTGAGAAAGGTTAGAATGGTAGGTTTTATGTGTTTTTCACCATAATTTTTTAATATCATGTAAAAAAATTACACTTGACTATAAAATAGTATTTATAGTATGCCATTTCAATTGAGAAAATTAATGTAATACTATTAAATTTCACAGTAATTATAGTAATTTTACCTTAGAGTATTTTTTCATTTTTCCTTTGCTTCATTTGCTAAGTACCTATAACACATTTATCCCAAACTATGACAGAACTGTAAATCCCTTTTCAATATGATCAATTACATCAGATTATCTATCCTTTTCAGGTTTTTTCCCTTAGAAATACTCATCCCTGAAGCTCTCCGTTTTCTCCTGCTCCATTCCGGACTAGCTGTTCTCCAAACTTGTTGCCCAGCTGTCACACTCTGAGAATTTCTTACATCATCCTAGGAATTTATCCCTGCCTCTCTGTGTCGGATCCTTTACTTCCTGGATCCGAAGTCTTTCTCTTTTTACTTCCCTCATTTTATGAATAACATTTTCTAATACTTTCCTGAGAAAGCACACGTAGGATGTCAATTATTTTCGTTTTTGCATGACTGAAAACATCTTTGTTTTACCCTTATATTGATAGTTGAGTACAGAATTCTAGTTTGAAAACAATTTTTCTCAGAATTCAAAGACATTGTTCTATTATCTTCTAGCTTCCAACACTGTTGAAGAGTCTGATGCTGTTTTGATTCCTAGTCCTTTATTTAATTTGTTTCTCTTGTAATTCATTGAAATTCTTTTTCAGTTCTTGAATCATTTTTTCACACAGAAAATATAAACAGATGAAGTCAGTGCCACCAAAAGTACTACAATAAACCCATATTCCCATAAATGGCACAACTGGGTTTCACATACTCAGCCTCCTCTGGCTGAAATATGCGTGTCTGGAGAGCTGGAGCCAACGGGATACCCTGAAGGCAAACTGTTAGCAGACGATGGCTCCCAAGAGAAAGATCTAGGAACTGCAGAATATACCACAAAAAGCAAAGGCTTGTCTGAAAGGTAGAGTTCTCAATGATCTCAATGCATGCAACAGCTAAGGAATCTGACACTGTGTACTGCACCACACAGCAGGTCAGTGAGACGTGAACAAACCATTTTTTAGCAGTCAATCCAACACAGTAAGTCACAATTGGGCAGAGGCTTTTAAAAGGCTTTCTGAAATTGTGACTCTAGAATAACCTAAACATTCAGAACATGTCTAGAAGTGGTTTCCACGAACTCAGACTGCAATTCTTACATAAAACCTCATGTGAAATCTTCTAGATAAAGTGTATGGAGCCAT